ATGAGTGTGCATATATCTGCTTGGGTGTCAGTTGTGGTTTCTTTAGGGTATATACCAGTAGTGGAATTGATTTCTATTTGACACTTTTTGAGAAAATGCCATACAGCCTTCCATAGTGGTTGCACCATTTTACACTCCCATCAACAGTGAATAAGGGTTCTATTTCTCCAGAACCTTGCCAGCATTTAATGTTTGGTCTTCTGTTAAATTTTGCGAATCTTACTGGGATGAGATGATATTTCATCGTAGTTTTGATTTCTTTTAGAGCTAGGGATTTTGAAGATTTCTTCATGTGCTTTTTGGCCATCTGAATGTCTTCTTTGGGGAAGTGTCTGTTAATATCCTGTGCCCATTTTTCAATTGGGTTATTTGCTTTTATTTAGTTGTGGTGTTTGAGTATTTTATACATTTTAGATATAAATCCCTTGTCTGACATGTCATTACCAAATATATTTTCCCAATCTGTGGCTACCCTTCTTATCTTGTTGGAGAAGTTTTCGAATGTGCATAGGGATTTGATTCTTAGAAGGTCCCAATCAACTATTTTATCTGTTCCTAGTTGTAGATTTTTTCAGAATGGTTGGAAGACTGTTTATGTTGTGGATTAGGATTTCTAGAGTTCTTCCAAGCTTTTCTTTAATGAAGTTTATCATCCTTGGTTTTAGTCCTATGTCCATGGTCCACTTTGAGTTGTTTTGTGTGTATGGAGTGAGGTGTGGATCTTGCTTGAGTTTTCTGCACATAGTTTTCCAATTTTGCCAGCACTATGTGTTAAAAAGGCTGCTATTTCTCCAATTTACTGATTTCATCTCCCTGTCAAAAATCAGTTAGCCATAGGTAGATGGGTTGATTTCTGGATCCTCAATTCAGTTCCATTGATCTATGTGTCTGTCATTGTACTAGTACCATGTTGTTTTGACCACCAGGGCAGTATAGTAGGATTTGAAATCAGGGAGTAAAATGCCTCCTACCTTGTTTCTCTTCTTAAGGAGTGTTTTCCTTATTCGAGGCTTCTTTGCTTTTCAAATGAAATTGGAAAGGCAAGGGTTTTGAGACTCTGTCTCACATATTTTGAGCTTGTGGCCCGGAGGGACCAGTCCTTGGAGAAGGACATCATGCTTGGGAAGGTGGAAGGACAGCGCAGAAGAGGAAGGCCCTGAATGAGATGGATTGACTCATTGACTGGGTAATGGGATTAAGTGTGTCAGAGATTATGAGATTGGTTCAGGATGGGGCAGGATTCAGAGCTATTGTAAATAAGGTCCCTAGGAGTTGCAGGTGACTCAACAACTTTTTCTCAAACTCTTGTTGATTATAGTGAAGAGTGTCTATGTAACTGACCTTTATATAAGTAAGCATTTGAATTTGAAGTCATAGTTTATTCAGTAAGACTATGAGCTAATTATTCTCTTTGCAAGTCAGTCAAAAGACAAAAACTGTGTAGTTTTTTCACAGGATTATGGTACATC